GGCTATACTGAGAAGTGTAAGAAAAATAAAGTTCCCTTGTGGTGTGATGCACTTCCCTTTACTGAACTTCAGTTAACATAGGGCCAAGATAATAGATTTTCGGGGACATTAATATTTAAAAAAAAAAAAAAAAAAAAAAAAAAAAAATATATATATATATATATATATATATATATATATATATATATATATATATATATACATATTAAAACAAAAAAACCCTCTAAATCTAAAACACTAATCTAAGCTAGATACTGGAAGCATCCAATTAGCTTAGCTTAGCACAAAGACTGGGTAAATAGGGAAATGGCTAGCTTGACTGTCCAGAAGTAATAAAACCTACATAGAGCAGTCATTAGAAGCATTTTTACAGGCCCTTAAGAGAGTCTGAGAGAGGAGAAAATAAGAAATAGGCGAACAAATGACCCACCCTCCTTCTCTTACAAAAGCTGCTGTAAGGAACTGAACCCACAAAAGAGTCCCCTCTGCATCCCGGTGCTGAGCACTACGACCCCCTCAGCTTCAGGATACAAGCACTCAGAACATTAGACCCAAACAAATTATGATGTAATAGAAATACAGAGATTATTGGACAGAACAAACAAAATCCCAGAATAATATGGAAAGAGACACTGTGGCAACCTGCTGGTCCACAGTGTCTGAGGAGAACACTTAGTACAGATGGAGTGAGCACAACCTCCATCAGTGGAGGAGAGGTTGTCTTCTTAGTGTGACTAGGGAACAGTTGACAGAGACATCATGATGAGTCTAACAATTCCTCTATCTAAGGGACTCGGAGAGACTTGTAGTCCTACTGAGAGAGAGGGAGGGCTGCTGTAGACTGGCCGATACAGAGCCGACACGTGCACTATAAGCTAAATTGTTATTTTAAACATGGACTCTGGGCCAGCATTTCCCAACATGTTTGCAGCTAGTGCTGCCTACCCCACAAAACTTCTCTTCAAATGCATTACCAGTCGTCATGTATAAGTTTACACTAATAAGATAAAATATCAATTTTAAAGCATTGAGTGAACAGTTCATCCCGTCTTGTTCAGCGTGAGTGACTGTAGCTGCCAGCACAGTGAATGGATATGGGCATTATGAGTGTGAAAAATGGATTCATGTTTTTCCTGGTCTTTGGAGAGTTTAAATTGGGTTGGAACTGTTGAAGTTGTTGATACACTGTATGTGATATTGGGCTGTACAAATATGAAATATGACTTATCTTGACTAACTGCTTTATTGGCTGTCATGCAGGTGAGAGTTGGGTGGAGGTGCAGAGCAGCAATCATGGTGGCCCTGTCACTAAAGATCGGCGTGGGGAATGTGGTGAAGACCATGCAGTTTGAGCCCTCCACCATGGTGTACGATGCCTGCCGTATCATAAGGGAAAGAGTTCCTGAGGCACAGCTTGGCCAGCGTAAGTTATCTTTCTCTCTCCCTCCACACACACACACACACACACACACACACACACACAGATAGGGCTACAAGAGTTATAAGGCACCAATTGATTCATCGATTAGTTGTCAACTAATAAATTGCCAACTATTTGATAATCAACTAATTGTTTTGGGTTTTCTACAAAGACGTAACTCATTGTCTTTTTTTTAAAGTATTCTTTTGGGGCTTTTTATTGCCTTTAATCGATAGAGACAGCCGAAGGTAGACAGGAAAGGGGGGGCAGAGAGGGGAGATGACACGCAGCAAAGGGCTGCAGGTCGGACTCGAACCCTGGGCTGCTGCAGCAAAGACTCAGCCTCAGTACATGGGACGCCAGCTCTACCCACTGAGCTAACTGGGCGCCCTTGTTACTCATTGTCTTTGTAGAAAACCTTTCAAACTGTATTCTAGTAGAGGATAATGCAGGATGGGAGCTGTAGAACGGTAAAACACAGCTCCAAGTTTCTGCAACCGTTTGTTGATAATAATGAGACCTGATCTAGGACCGTATGAGCTTTACAGAACTACTCAGCACACAAACAGGATCACTTCACATATTGTCTTCTTGTCCAGGAAGTGTCAAATGCAATCATTTCCTAAAGGTGGTGAGCATGTGGAAGTTTCAGTATAGCAACCCCAGGTCCATGGAGTGGAATGGAGGGGAGAATGTCTGACAGCAGATGAACTGTGGCCTTGCTACCTTTGTCTAGATGATTACAGGCTCTGCAGAAGTTCTGCGGTTGAAAACATTTCTATAAACTGAGACTAGCCCTCTGCTCCACAGATACATCAGCTGGCATGCATGCAGAGTTATGCCTTATGATTATAAGCAGCTCTCTGCATTGCTTGTTTCAACCTGTAAGTCATTCTGCAAGACAAAGAGTTTAAGCCAGTATCTCTGAATACATCAACAGCTTGTTTTTACTCTCCAGTCAGTTCTCCTGTCTTATACTCAAGAGAAAAGTGGTCACACTTTGAAATGTATAACCTGATATATTTGGAGCAGATGTATGTATTGTAACCCACTGACCTGATTAACATGGACAGGGAATCTTGTGCACATATTTAAAAGTCACATCCCGCACAAGCACTTGAGACAATAATATCTCCGTAGTGGCTGAATATCCACGTGTGTTTCTTGGCGTACATGCACACTTGCTGTGACTCACTCAGTATTTCTGTTTCCTTCTGCAGCCAATGACTATGGGCTGTTTCTGTCTGATGAAGACCCAAAGAAAGGCATCTGGCTGGAGGCAGGAAAGGCCCTGGACTACTACATGTTGAGGAATGGAGTGAGTCACTCTCGCACGCACTCTACACACTGCTAAATGCTACAGATATGACAAAGAATGTGCCCAGTGTGATTTAAAGTGTCTGTAGGGGTACACTTTTATTTTAATTGGTTTAATTTTGTCAAGTCAACAAATTTGTGACTCGAATCGGACTGGAGTCCAAGTCATGTGACTTGAGTCCACACCTCTGCCCACAGCCTTACTTTAGGGCTTTGCAGACTGACCGTGAGATATTGGGTACTGTTGAAAATTAATTGGCTATTGTGATGGGATCAAAATGTGCAGGCCAATATATCTTTGTGTATTAGTAAAAAGATTTTGAAACACTGGGGAACATTGTTTGGAGCCTAGTGGTGATAATTGAATAATGATAATAAAGGTGTTGACATATGTTACCCTCCCATGCAGAACCCTGCTTTAATCACACAAGTGCAACAACCAGCCAGGGTTGGGTAGTAAGAGATTACATGCAATTGGGATGATGTAATCAGATTATAAGTAGCTATAGTCAAGCAGGAATACTTTTCAAAAAATGGGTAATTGTAAAAACATTTTAATTGTACGTCTTCAAAATATGGCAATTTTAAAATTATGAGACCTTTCCATGATCATCTATTAACTCATGAAAACATGTCCAGTCTGACATATGGGGTTTCTTAGACAAGTGCTCCACTTTTTGGTGGACTGGGGGGGAGAAAAAGAACAGTGTTGAGTCAAGATGGACGTTACAGGCAGTATCATAAATAATCAAGGCTGAACGAAGTGTCAGGCATGTAGTAACACAGAGCTCTCTACCTGTCTCCTCTCTCCTATAGGACACTCTGGAGTACAAGAAGAAGCAGAGGCCTCTGAAAATCCGCATGCTGGATGGCACAGTGAAGACCGTCATGGTAGACGACTCCAAGATTGTCAGTGACATGCTCATGACCATCTGTGCAAGAATAGGTCAGCTCTGTCACGCACAGCTCACACTTCACCTCTGATATGTGGGGATGATATAATGTTGACTGATTTCTGCTTTGATGTCAATCTGTACATCACTAAATTGACATTGCTTCATAAAAAAAATAAAGCTCATGCATTTGTTTTTACAGCAATATGAAATGAACGTAACTGTAGTAACTAACTTTATTGTATTTGTGTGTCAGGCATCACAAACTATGATGAGTACTCACTGGTGCGAGACATTGGTGAGGAGAAGAAGGAGGAGACCACTGGCACCCTGAAAAGAGACAAGACTTTGCTGAGAGACGACAAGAAGATGGAGAAGCTGAAGCAGAAGCTCCACACAGACGATGAGTGTATGACAAACATAAGCCCTCACACTCAACATTGGCATGGTTTCATTGGTGGTCCTGCATCACCCATCTGTGTTGGATGTGGTGATGTGAATATATTGGTAATATTGTGCTGACAACTGACTAGTCACCACCTGTGACAGACAGCTGACTAATGGTATGTGTCCACAGGATCCGTCATTTCTGTGCTTTCCATGTGAGCAGAATTCTTTTGTCCAATCAGGTGTGACCGACAAGTGTCCAGTGCTGGGAAGCTGCGCGACCCCTTGCGTCCAAAAACACATCTGTGACACGTACCATAAAACATCTCTTACGTTCACTTCGCCTATGGACGGCAAAATAAAAAATAGTCCAGAAGATATATTGATATGCAAATCAAACAGTCTCTGTAATATTATACTCAAAAGTACTTTGATTGGTTTGGAAGATTAGAAACTATGTAAGTACAGTCCATTCTTAGTCATTAAGCACTACCTCAGAGTTAGAGCAGGTCGTCCACTAATCGGAAGGTTGTTGTTTCGATCCCCTGATGTCCAAGTATCCTTGAGCAAGTTACTGAACCCCGAATCGCTCCTGTGTCATCAGTGTCTGAATGTGCATGAATAAGTTAGTTTCTGTTTGATGGACTTGCCATCACTGTATGAATGTATATGTAGGCGAATGTGTCATGTAGTGTAAAGGCGCTTTGAGTGGTCAGAAGACTAGAAAGGCGCTATACAAGTTCAAGTCCATTTAACATATAGTAATAACTGTTGGGGGTCAGTTCCAAACAGAGAGTACAGGGACTTTATCTGGTTGATGTTTGTCCACAGTGAACTGGTTGGACCATGGCAGGACGTTGAGGGAACAGGGTGTGGAGGAGACAGAGATGTTGCTCCTGAGGAGAAAGTTCTTCTACTCAGACCAGAACGTGGACTCCAGAGACCCCGTCCAGCTCAACCTACTCTACGTACAGGTACACAAACTGCTCAGGTAGACCTGATAAATCTCTATTCCCATTCATCAAAGGGTTTTTTAAAAAAACAACAAAACTAATCAGCATTAATCAATCATTGGTTGTTTTTTATTTGATATATGCTAATTGCCAGGTTCAGTTCTTTATTCACAATTAAAGCTGCAGTATCTTTTTCTCATGTACTACTGTCATGACACAGTAAAAAGTTTCAACAATAATTACAAGAAGTTATTTTTTTATAAAAGTTACCTACTTCAGCTTTAATACATGTTCTGCCAGGTATATATGGACATGCGGCACAATGATAAAAGTCAATGAAACAGTATATGTACCAGGACAAGAAACGTGAATTTAAGTTTCCATAAGGGGGCACATGTAACACAACTGCATGACAAGGTCCACCAGATAGGCCTAAAGGCTGTTCTGGGTTGAATAACCGGACAGTTAGCTTTAATTAAGTTGCAATAACCCTAACAAAACTGAATACATGAATGAATGGAATTCAGCACTATAGAAAGAAAAAAGATTATGCCAACTTCTGGGTTAAAAAACATAATTCGCGCAGCACTCTATATGTACCTAACACTGCAATCTAATTACATTTAACATAAAACTCCACTGACAGTGACAGTGTTTACAATTCTGTAAACACTGTCAGTGGAGTTTTATATTGCAGTGTTAGGTGCTGCACATGCTGTATGCTTCTTTTTGTTTGTGTGCTTGTTTATTCATACATAAGATCAGTTTGATTTCAGTAGAACATTTGTGCTGGCTCTAGGGATGTCACAATACCAGAAATTTAGTAGTCCATACCAATATCAGTGGAATTCCACGAGTCTCCATACCCAATTCAAGGGTAAAAAACAAAAACAAAACAATATGAGAATATACTTCTATTTATTATTCTGCTTTTAGACCTAAAGCAGACATCTAAAAGGTTGAGAACCACTGCTTTAGTTGATGGTTTGGTTTTCATATAGACATATTATATCTGCCAATCAATATTCAATTCAATTCAGTTCAATTTTATTTGTATAACGGCAATTCATAACAGAAGTCTTTATAAAATGATTTACAGAGACCCAACAGTTCCCGCCATGACAACAGCCACATCAATGGGGGACAATGAGCAATGATAGTAATAGTAATAATAAGTAATAGTAATAATAATAATAATAATAATTAAAGCTGCAAGCAGCGTTGGGCGGGACCTCGCACTCCATGCAACTCGGGGCGTGCTGCGGCCGCGTTGCGTGCCATCGTTACACGTGCGGACCAAAACATGAAATTTCACGTAAATCAGCTCAAAATCGCCACGCCGCGCTTACTTCCTGTTGCTAGTAGGTGGTGCTATCACTATGTCTTAATATTGTCATGTAGACAAGTTCAGGGCGGGACTGTTATAACACACATGAAGTTTCAGTGAGATTGGACCACGTACGCTGAAGTTATGAGGACCAGTTCAGGGCAAGACTGTTACAGAATATATGAAGTTTACTGGAGATTGGACATTGCACACTGAAGTTATGAGTGCTGTTTTATGGCGAATCCGCTGAATTCGACAAATCGTCACTGGCACGGTCATTTCACGTAACTCAGCTCAAAATCGCCACGCAGCGCTTACTTCCTATTGCCAGTAGGTGGTGCTATCACTATGTCTGAATATTGTCATGTACACATGTTCAGGGGGGGACTGTTATCAAGCATTTGAAGTGTGGAGCCGATTGGACAATGTACACTTAAGTTATAGCGAATTCGTGTTTTGTGGCGGTCCATCAAAATTTCCCGCCACCCCACAGACACGCCCCCTCACCACAGTCAACACATATCATCAACAATGTGTTTTGCATTTTATAAGTAAATTTCAGCTGGATCTGATCATCCTGCAAGGAGTACAACATGAAAGTATACACGCCCTTTAATGTACATGCACAAATAGCACAACTTTTAATCGGCACCATTTTTTGACTGTACTGACCAATTTTAAAGTAGATCCGATAAATTCCCTAGGAGGAGTTCGTTCAAATACAACGTGAAAAATTCCCCCGAAAATGTGCACGGAATTCACTATGGCCAACTTTGAGGGCACGCCACGGACACGCCCTTCAACCTACATGCACAAATAGCACAACTTTTAATCAGAACAATTTTTTGACTGTACTCACAAATTTTTAAGCAGATCCGATAAATTCCCTTGGAGGAGTTTGTTCAAATACAACAAGAAAAGTTTGCCGAAAGTGAAAATGAAAATCAAAATGGCTGACTTCCTGTGGGGTATCGGGTATGGGTCCAAGAGGCTTTTTTGTACGTCCCGGCATGTTACATGTGGCTACTGAGTTTCTTACATATCGGTGAAACGTTGCGCCGAGGCTGCTGTTTCTTTATCCTGTAGGGGGCACTACAAATGCTACAAACACGACAAACACGATTTTTGGTATGTGAGCTACAGGCACCACTCTACACGTGCCCTGTGAATTTCATATTCATAACTATTACGGTCTCCGCACAGTGATTTACCATGCCAACAGAGCGCCACCTAGTGGTGGATTGTTGACACATTTTTTTAGCGAGCCTCAGGAAGCATCGTACCAAATTTCATTTCAATCACACGTGCTGTTATGGAGATATAAACTTCTTCATTTTAAAGAGCGCCACCTAGAGGCGATGGCCTGAAATTGTGCATGATGCCTAAGGAAGACATGGGGAACTAAGGACCCGAGTTTTATGTCAATCGGACATACCAATGTGGAGAAATGGTCCACTTCCTTTTTTGACAAAAGATCTACAGGAAGTTAGAATTTTATAGTGTTCTTATTTTTTGAAATTTCAAAAATGTTCAAATTACTCTTTTTGCCAGGGCGGTCCCCAGGTGCTATGTGAAAAATGTTGTGCAAATCGGACAAAGCGTGTAGGAGGAACATGAAAAAGTAGTTTAAGGACATTTCACGCTCTAACGAAAAAAAATTATAGGCGGAAGTGGGCGGGGCCTATATGGGGAGATTCAGCTCTATTCACCGAACGCGTGGATATACGTTTTTGGAATGTGTGACAAACGATGTGGGAGTTATTAGCCTAAACGCACTTTTCATGATAGTATCGCCACCTAGTGGCGGACCCGAAAGCGACGCATGGAATATCACATTTTTCACCAGGCCTGACCACTTTGCCAAATAAAATTGACTTTTCGTATATGTTCAGGGGGGCAAAAACACAATCAAAGTGCTAAAAATAGGGAAGAAGAAACGAAGCAAAAACAATAGGGACCTCCAGCGGTTGCTTGCGAGTTCCCTAATAACACTAATATCAGTGATATTGGCAATGGCAGTCAAGCAGGACCATGGCAGGAGGCTCCACCAGGATCCATAAGAACCTGCGAGACGAAAAAGCACAAGAACTCCGGGGAAGAAGTGAAATTAGTAACATGCATTAATGGGACATGAATGAGTGCAGAAAGAGAGGAAGAGAGGAGCTCAGTGCACCATGGGAAATCCCCCGGTAGTCTAGGCCTATAGCAGCATAACTAAGGGATGGTTCAGGACTCACCTGATCCAGCCCTAACTATAAGCTTTATCAAAAGGAACGTCTTAAGCCTACTCTTAAATGTGGTGAGGGTGTCTGCCTCCCGAACCACAAATGGAAGCTGGTTCCACAGGAGAGGAGCTTGGTAACTGAAGGCTCTGGCTCCTGTTCTACTTTTAGAGACTATAGGAACCACAAGTAGCCCTGCATTCAAAGAACATAGTGTTCTAGAGGGGTAATAGAGTACTATGAGCTCTTTAAGATAAGAAAATATATATAGAAAAACAGATCAAGTAGGTGATTTTAATATTCATACGGATGTTGAAAATTTTAGTCATTTTAGTAATGCATTTATTTCATTAATAGACTCAATTGGCTTCTGTCAGACTATAAATAAACCCACCCATTGTTTTAATCGCACTCTAGGAGTGGGGTCTTAGGGTCGCAGAGGAGTCTGTCCTAGGTTTCTGCCTATTTAAAAAGGAAGTTTTTCCTTGTCGCCAAGTGCTTGCTCATGGTGGTACTGTTGGGTCTCTGTTAGGGGTGGGCGGTACACCGGTGTCATAGTCATCACCGGTGTGACATTGCGCCACGACATGGATTTTGCAATACCGTCAATACCGTGATAAATCAATTGTGCGCCTTGAACGGCTGCATTTACATCAATAATAGCCTAATTCTAAATAATAAGGCATTACATTTTCTTCAAACGTTCAGTTGTGGTCTGAATACCCGTCCTTATATACTATATATCTTGTTGCAAATAAAAAAGTAAAACATATTTGTATCAGCTTTGCAGGTGGTAAAAAGGGAGTGGCCATTAAATTAGTGTAACAAGCAATTAACCTGGGTAATCGATAAAGAAACGACTGGTGAAACATCGCAAAGAAAGGTCGGGCCTGTAGCCTATATTATCTGAAAAGAGATGAGTGGAGTGTCGGAACCAGATGGAGAGACCGAGGCCGCTGGAGAGGAAACTCTCGTTCCAAAAAGAGGAGGCACCTCCGTTATTTGGAACTGGTTCGGTTTTAAATCATCCGACACGGAGCAAACTTCAGTAATATGCAAGGTTTGCAGCCGTGTTGTGACAGCAAGAGGTGGAAACACAAGCAACCTGTTTCATCATTTAAAAAACATGCACGCCTGTGAATATGACGAGGCAACCCGGGCCAAAACGAGCGCAAGTGGGACAGGCAGCACCAGCGGAGCACGTCCCAAGACTACACGGCTTTCACTGCAGGCATCGTTTACTGCTGCTACACCTTACGACAAGAGTAGTAAGAAATGGAAAGATATTACCAGGGCAATTGCGCTATATATCGCAAAGGACATGGTGCCCATTCAAACCATAGAGAGAGATGGCTTCAGATATGTGGTTCACACTCTGGACTCAAGATACGAGCTGCCTGGTTGGAAATTTTTTAGCCAGAAGTGTCTGCCAGAGCTGTACACGGCGGTACGGGACAGAGTCATGAACGAAATTCGCCACCTTGAAGCCTACTCGGCCACTACTGATTTATGGTCCAGCCGGACTACTGAGCCATACATTAGCCTCACCATCCACTTCATTGACGATGACTGGAAGTTGCGCAGCAGATGCCTACAGACCGCCTTCTTCCCCGAAGACCACACCGGAGCAATAATTGCGTTAGGACTGAAGGATGCACTTTCTGCCTGGGGCTTGGATGAAGCGCGTCTGGTGAGCATGACAACCGACAGCGGTGCAAACATGGTGCGCGCTCTGGAAATCAATAAATGGACGAGACTCGCGTGTTTTGGACACAGACTGCACAACGCTATTGGTAAGTTACACTATCTAAACCTAACATTTCATATTCAGAAAATTTGTCAAGTCCTTTTCTGTTTGTATTAAAAATATAAAACAAAAACTAATTTAAGGCCACCACATTAGTATTGTATTGTTCATTGTTAGTATTGTTTAGCCGTGATTCCTCTTGGGACCGGATCAGAAAGTAAAAAAAAAAACCATAAATATAAAATACAAATATCATCAGATTATATGAAAAATATTATTAAAAATATGTACAATATATATGTGTTTAAAATGAAAAAGCTGTACTATTTGTGCAGGCATGTGCAAAATATTGACCAACATACATACAATATGTAGGCCTATTAGATTTGTAATAGCCTAATGTTCAGTGTGTCCATACAATAAATACTTATGCTGCTCTACAGTTAATGGTTTATTTAGTTTTTCAACTATGATAACCTACTTTTCCACTTATGCTAATATCTTTATTCGTTCTTTTTACTTCCCAGAGAGGAGTGTCCAACATGATGCTCGAGTTGCACGGGCCACAGGTATGTGCAAAAAAGTGGTCAGCACATTCTCCTACAGCTGGAAAAAGAAGAAGGCCCTGACCAGTGCACAGAGAGAGCTGAACCTGCCCCCCCACAAGCTGGTCACAGAATCCCCAACAAGGTGGGGGTCCTGTGTCAAAATGATGGAAAGGGTGTTGGAGCAGGAGAAGGCCATCACTCAAGTCCTGGCAGCAGACCAAAAGTCACGTCACCTTCTACCCACCTGGCAAGACATTGAGGTGTTGGAGGCCATAACCAAAGCACTGAAGCCTCTGCAAGATTTTACAGATGCCCTGTCAGGAGAGGAGTATGTTAGTGTCTCCTATGTTAAGCCAGTCCTCCATCTACTCAATTCAAACATTTTGAAGCCAGAAGAAGACAAAGCAGGACTGTGCGAGGACATCAAGAAGAGGGTCCTGGATTATTTGAATGAAAAATACAAAGATCCTGCCACTGACGAGCTGCTCACCATGGCAACATTCCTGGACCCACGGTTTAAGACCACCTACATGTCACCTGAAAAGTTGGAGGAAGTGAGGAGCAGAGTAGCTACAGAAACCAAAGCACTGGAGGAGAAGACAGCCACAGATGCGTCTTCCACAGAGGACCAAAGCGAGAGGGAAACTAGCACTGCTCCTGCACAACTGAAAAAGCCCAAGAACAGCTTGGGCAGTTTCTTCAAAAAGTGTAGCAGTGCACCACCAAAGCAGCAGGGAATTGACATGGAGCTGGATGGCTACCTGCTGATGGTGACGGCTGACAGTGACTCTGATCCACTGGAGTGGTGGCGTCTCCAATGTTCCCACTTCCCCCGCATTAGCCGTCTGGCAAAAAAATACTTATGCATCCCAGCCACAAGCTCACCCTCCGAGCGTGCATTCAGCACAGGGGGCAATATTGTAACAAGCTCCAGGGCATCACTGAAGCCAGAAAATGTTGACAGGCTGGTGTTCATGGCAAAGAACTTGAATGTCTAGTTTCATCAGAGTTCAGATGAAGAGAGAGTTAGTTTTTGTGAAAAGTACACATTATTACACTGATCTTGTGTTATTACACTGCTAATTTTTGTTTTGTTGTACACTGTTAAGTAAGATCTTTAGGTTTTTTGCTAAATAAATATGTTGAGAATGCATAATACTCTCCCATGTCTCTTTTTGATAAGGATACCTACCATTTACTTATTTTATTATAAAAATATTAACTTTATTCACATAAAGGGACAGGACAGGCTACTCCTCCCAAAACGTACCAAAAAAAAAAGTAATACCGTGATATTAGACCGCCACCGTTCAAAAGATGAAAAATACCGTGATATTAATTTTAGGTCATATCGCCCACCCCTAGTCTCTGTAAATAATGTTATAAGGAGTTTGGTCTAGACCTGCTCCATTTGAAAAGTGTCCTGAGATAACTTCTGTTATGAATTGGCGCTATACAAAGAAAACTGAACTGAATTGAAATTGTTTTGAGGACTAAACTTAATGAAAACACTGAGAATTCAGACAGAAAATCAGAGTACGGGCCAGGAGCGTGGTACACTATAACATACAGAACTGGCTGCAATGTTTTCCAGTTTGGGTGAGAAAGACTAAGAACTTTCAAATTTAATTGATCATATTAGCTGCTACTCCCCGTCCTCGGCCGATGCCTCGAGGAATGTGAGTATTAATAGGACTAATTATTTTATTTTGTGCTACTGTAGAATTAGTTTACATATTTATTAGGTTTTTATGTTGAACTCCTCTTGTTTTTATTTCTTTAAATAATTTAGGTGGTCGGGGGACAGACACAGTCTCTATGGGGTTTTGGGTGGGTGACTGTTCTAATGGAAGAGCAGAGAAGTGTGTAAGACAGCAGCTCTGCTTCCTGGTTTACTTCTGCTTTGTTATACTTCTAGATAACAGAGTTGCTCCGTCCAAAGTGGGATGGATGCCGTCTCTCCTCACACCAGGTTTTCCCTAGAAGGTCCGCTAGTTATCTATGAAGCCCACATTGTTTGCTGGACACCACCTCGACAATCAGCGGTGAAAGGACGACATGCGGCTATACATGTCATCACTGGTCAGATTGTCCAGAGAAATCAGTCAAATTTTTTTTACTTCAGGTTTGAATGCCTTTATTCATCACCTGTGATGTGACAACATCAGATTTCCACATAGTTTTTGCGTCTCGCTCATAGTTCAGTTGTAAAATCCCAGCACACCATTAAGCGTCTCTTTTAAGTTGCACTGCCCTCTTTTTCTGTCACAGCTATAATGGTTTATATTGATATCACTGCCAAAAACAGTCAGCATAAGTCGTCCTCCTCCTCCAGCACGCTCTGCTGCTGCGACCTTTTGCCTAATATTTCCAACATAACCCGTCTGACACAAACAATTTCCTTATGTGTGAGGGGGCAAACTCGGACATTGTCCCAACCTGATTCTCAGGACGTTGTTCTGAGTTCATATGTGAAAACAGTTTTACTGGTTTTCTTTTTGACGAGTCAGGTGGAGCTGTTGCTGCAGCTGCATTTGATGCCATCTTGAATGTGTTGTTCTTCTGTGCTAGTGACTGCAGACTAGAATGCATGTAGGCGTGTGTATGCTTCCCCGGTACTGTAGAAAAACAAGTAACAAGTAACAAACAAGTTTTCTTACTTTTGGCATTGACTTGATACCAAAGTATCAGTTCTTGTGACATCCCTAACTGGCACTATCTCTCTTAACCTTGGAATAAATGTTCTTCAGAAAGGAGTAGCCATGTAACAGCTGAAAACAGCAGTATTCTCCATGGTAGTACTGCTCAGGTTGTTTTTGAAACTGATACTGTTTTCTCCGGATTGATGTTGGATGACATTCTGAAGATTGATGTCTGTGTGTCTGTGTGAACAGGCCCGTGATGACATTCTGAATGGATCTCATCCAGTCTCCTTTGACAAGGCCTGTGAGTTTGCTGGCTATCAGTGTCAGATTCAGTTTGGCGACCACAACGAGTCCAAACACAAGGCTGGATTTTTGGAGTGAGCGCTGCCTTCATGTTTATATTCACTCTTTCTTTTGGTCACATCCGATTTTTCTTTGACATTTCTGTTTTGATTTGTCTTTTTGAAATTGTCCAGAGGCTTGTTTGATTCTAGTTGATCTGTTTCCTCCTCAGTTTAAAGGAGTTCCTTCCAAAAGAGTACATCAAGAACAAAGGAGAGAGAAAGATCTTCCAGGTAAGGAGTGGACTGTGTTGAGCTACAGTGTGGCTAGATGAACAAATATATTATTTGTTCATCTAGCCACACTGTATATCTGTACCACATCCATGTAACAGTCTTTATGCAGACAACGCATATATAACATCACAAATGTTAATAAATCATTAGATACAACAAATATAAGAAAGATGGGGTTGCTTACTTAATGCTACAAGCAAGTCTATATACTGTATTCCTCTGATTGTTTGTCTCGTCTCTGCAGGCACACAAAAACTGTCAGAACATGACCGAGATCGAGGCCAAAGTCAGCTATGTGAAGCTGGCCAGGTCTCTGAAAACCTACGGAGTGTCGTTCTTTCTGGTCAAGGTGAGATCAAATGTATCACTCAACATTTCAGTTTGACAGATTGCTGACACGTTATCCAAGAAAGGGGAAACCCGATTGTTAATGCTAAACTCTGTAGGAACCCTGTAGTTAATTATACACAGGCTTCAGTCCACGGAATATAGGATCTGTCGTTTGCACGGTGTGGATGTGTTTTGCAGACAGGTAGGTAGGTAGGTAGGTAGGTGGGTAGGTGGGTGGGTAGGTAGGTAGGTAGGTAGGTAGGTAGGTGGGTAGGTGGGTGGGTGGGTAGGTAGGTAGGTAGGTAGGTAGGTACTTTATTGAGAAATGGGAATTAAGGTGTTACAGCAGTTCACATTTAAAGTGAAAATGAAATAAATAACAAGGAATAAAAAAAACAATTAGTAAACATCTTTTAGAAAAATAGATAGATAAATAAATAAATGAACAAAAATAGACATCTGACATCCTATAGCGCTCCTTAGTGCTATGTAGCTGTAATAGTCTGTTGTTAAAGGAGCTTCTCTGCTCTGCCACACTATAATGTAGGGGATGGGAGGGGTTTTCCATAATGGCCAGGAGTTTGGACCTCCGTCTTGGCTGTATTACAAAGTCAAATGCATTAACATTGCTGATTTATTTCCTGTAAGGACATTCTAACTTTTCCTCAAACATCCTGCAGGAGAAAATGAAGGGCAAGAACAAGCTGGTGCCTCGTCTGCTGGGTATCACCAAGGAGTGTGTGATGAGGGTGGACGAGAAGACCAAGGAGGTGATCCAGGAGTGGAGCCTGACAAACATCAAACGCTGGGCTGCCTCACCCAAGAGCTTCACCCTGGTGAGTTCTCCATGGAAAGACAGAACATATCATTGACCCTGAGCTGCTTCCTAACTGTATTAGAACTCTCAGTTCAACCCTTCAACCCTTACCAGGACGCCTTATGCCGCAATGTACACTAACCCTCACCTTGATTCTCTCTGACTGGGAAATGAAAACCAAGTCAGAAATTGGGGTGTAGTTAGGAACTCAGACCTAAATGTTACCAGCTACATTTGAAAGATAAATCAAAATGTCTCAAGGATTAAAAATGCTTGTCTTTAAGCAATATGTTGAAATATTTGTTCAGGTAGTAACCTGCCTCTCCCCCAGGCTTCATTCAGCTCTCAGAAGAATCAGCTATTCTGTACAACTGTACCTCAATCCATTGCCAAAATATAGTGTACATGCCTTAATTCAGCATTTTCACTTGATTGGAAAATTCGAGTAACTATGAGCAATAGATTTACACTCCTAAATGCTATTCCATGCAGCCATTTGACTTGTAATTGTGTGTCATTATCATTTGGACAGTACATCACACATATGTACAAACACTCCTTATAGTATAGACATGCAGAGCTGTTAACACCTGCAGGCTACAGACAACTGAACCGGCTGTAATCCTGCTACAAGATGTCGTCATCAGAAACCAATGACGCTTGAGATGACGGGACAAAGGAAAAGACGTTTCCTAGATTTCGGTCTCACATAAACCTTTCTTTGCCTCTCTTCTTTGCGTCTCACATGGGAGGGGCCGAGACACGAGGAAGAGATGCAGGCAAGGGAAACAAGGAAACTGAGAAGAACCCAATGCAATGTAATTTCAAACTATTGTGTGTGTTTATATATGTATAACTTTTATTTATTTTAAGGGAGAGAGATCAACAACAAACGTCCCCAACTGGACTGAACAAGGATGTTATTGGTCATGATAAGCATCTTAAGTCCCCAACCCCTTTCCATATATTAATCTATTGACCCAAGATTGTTCTTTGTTCTGCTTTCAGGACTTTGGAGACTACCAGGATGGTTACTACTCTGTGCAGACCACTGAGGGAGAGCAGATAGCTCAGCTTATTGCCGGTTACATCGACATCATCCTCAAAAAGGTAAGAGTCATTGATATGGGACTGACTTAAAACATTACAATGGTAAAATGTTTTAATTTAGGTTATACTACTTACTTGTTTTTTTGAGATTTTTTTGTTTTACCTTTAGATATTCTTTATCTGCTGCAGGTGACATTGGTGGATTCCTTATTATAGAGAAACTGTTGCTTTAAGTGCATGTAGGCGATGTATTTTGATTTTAATGGCAAGTAAGTGAACAGCCATAGAGACAGCAAGGTGACAGTGTCCATGTAAACCCATACAGAAGTTATATTGATCAACCTGTGCACTGTGTAAGCAAGGAAAGGATGCTTTATTCAACTTCTCTTCTCTTGTTTGTAATTCTAAATCTACTTTGCTTAAATGTGTTTATTGACCTCTTTTTAAATATATGCATTTTGTTATAAGAGATTAAATCTGAGATTAAGAGATTAAATTAACCATACAGCTTTTTTAGCCTGTCTGATGGCCAACCTTTGTTAGCTTAGGATTCCTTTAAAATAACATTTTGTATGGTCGAGTGTGGTCACCACTGATGTCATTACTGTCATTCAACAGAAAAAGAGCAAAGACCACTTTGGCCTGGAGGGAGATGAAGAGTCAACCATGCTGGAAGACTCTGTGTCACCCAAAAAGTAAGTACTGCTTATACTATAGTATTTAGCATTTACAGATATCAAACATTTGGTAACCAGTAAATAGTAGTAGGTTAAAATCAGGGCTGCCCGGTAATAGAAATATTATCGAAATCACAAGTGCAATATGCAAACTATGTGACAAACAGCATTATAATGAAGTACTGTAGTGCTGTTGGGATGCCGTGGTCTACAAATCTTTGTTTGTTTGTTCAACAAATGTCACATCATCATGATTTTATTATTTTCTTTCAGTGAAAATGAATATAATATTTTACAATATCTGTCAAAAATAATCAGAATATGACTTTTTTTACCATATCGTGCAGCCCTATTTAAAACATATTTGTCAGTTTCTCTAAACAGTGCCTCTCTACTGTCTAGTTGTTATACTCCAGAGAGATAGTTGGTAAAAACGCGTACACACTCCCTCTGCATTTCCTGTTCTTTTTCTTTCTAATCACTCCACTCCAGGTCCACAGTGCTGCAGCAGCAGTTCAACAAGGTGGGCAAGGTGGAGACGGGCTCAGTGGCACTGCCAGCAATTATGCGTTCAGGAGCTGGAGGCCCAGAGAGCTTCCAGATGGGCTCCATGCCTCAGGCCAAGCAGCACATCACCAGCGGACAGATGCACCGAGGACACATGCCTCCACTGGTAAAACAAAGACAAACATCGCAAAAGGCTTTAACTGGCAGAATGAGACTCAAAATGAACTGTAATCGAAATGTTCTGTATCTGTTTCGTACCCGTAAGAACTTGGATATAACAAGTTTACAGATGTGTCATGAAACCGATGATGCATTTGAAAAGTGCCGTGGGCCGAGTACCTAACCTGTGTGGATTATATATCATAAACAATAGACAATTGTGTCATATAATATCTTATATTGAAGGCAATAGTTTTCATGTTTTATTTAACAAGCACAATGCAGATTACATTTATAGGTGCAGGCCAGTAGTCTTTTTACATATATTTTTTTACAGTAACAAAATGAATATTTTACTGATTGTATGTTAACATACTAATAGTATGGAGGAGGGTTGGGTCTGAATGGGAAAAGGATGAATGTTATAAAGTTTAGAATGAATTCAGATTTATATCAAGTTCAAACTCTGAGCCTTGAGTCTATTCTGAAAGTAAAGTCACAATGTTAAGAATTTTGTTTTGTTTGTGAATTGTGAGATCGAGCTCTTTTTTCATTTTTCACACTATCAAAAAATCTGATGTGCGGATCCAAAACAACAGTAAATGCATCTACTAACAAGTATCCACTGTTGTCCAAAAACTATTAAAAACACATCAGTGAGCCACCCTGCTGCACTGGCTGACGTGTCCCTTCTTTACCACAAATTACAATTACACACATCCTGAGGCCACAAATACTCACTAGAGCACCAAATGGGGAAGTCGAAAAATAACTCCTGACTTATCCTAACAGCTGAGTGCAAGTTATAGAACAGGGTCAAAATATTTAAAATATTTGGTATATAATTGTTATTGAGAGCACAGAAATATTTTATTAACTATAACACAATAGGTCGTATTAGTGACAGTACCTTTTTATGTCCACAGACTTCAGCACAGCAAGCCCTGACTGGAACCATCAACTCTAGTATGCAGGCTGTCCAGGCTGCCCAGGCCTCTCTGGATGACTTTGATACCCTGCCCCCACTGGGAACAGACGCTGTGAGTTCCTTTATTCTGAGTCCAAGAGGATTTGTTTGAGAGCTGATGAGTATTGAGCAGTCCATTGTAGATCTTTGTCACCT